TGAAAGAAGACAAAAAGGAAAAAAAAAAAAAAAAAGAAATTATACAAGAATGTTCATAGCAGCTATATTCATGGCAGCCAAACCCTATTAACAACCACCCAAATGGCAATCAACAGTAGAATGGATCTGTAGTATGTCCATGCAACAAAATACTACACAACAATGAAAAAAGAAACCACAACAATATACATAACGGTCTGAATGATTCTCACAAGAGAGAATCTCTGAGCAAGAGAGTTCAGACACAAAAATACATACAGTATGATTCCATATAAGGTTCAAATAGGCAAAACTAAACTATAGTGTCAGAAGTCAGGTCAGTTAGCTCACTTGGTTAGAGCACGGTGCAATAACACCAAGGTCAGGGGTTCAGATCCCCATACTGGCCAAAAAAAAAAAAGATACAAACCAAAACATGAGGGCCAATATATACCAATATATACACAAAACAAGTGATCATCAATAGCATATTTTCCCTAAAACATTTACAAATATGGAAATAAAAAAGTCAATCTCTAGTATGGCAAGAGTAAAAGGAAATAAATATTCTTAAATATTGATAGATACATAAACTAACTTTCTGGAAGACAGTTTGCTGACATGTATATAATGTAGTTTCATAAATGTTTCTGCCCTTTAATCTAGAATTCCACTTTTAATTACAAACAATGAAAGGAAATCTAGAAAAAGGGAAAGTCTAAATGTCCAGAAGATGATTTATTCAACTTCTAATATACCCATAAGATGAAACACTATGTAGCCATTAAACATTCTCTTAGAACAACACTTTAAAGAGAGAAAATGTTTATAAAGCATTAGGTAACTAAAGCGTATTATAAAATGTTAGGCACCAGGCCTAAATGTTTTCATAACTGTTGTTTATCTAAACTTTTAAGACTGATATTTATTCAAAGATTTTCATGCCACAGAAGACACAGGCAGTTCTCCAGTTTAGTTTATAACGTTTAACATCAAACCTTAATATAAGGACAGCACAATGAAGAAAAAAAAATACAAATAAAAGCAATTAAAAAAAGCCAAACATACTGCATTTCAGGAAGCAAGAATAGTTTTAAAATTAGGAAACCTATGAACATAAGCCAAAATACATTAAAAAGTTAATAAAAATGGAGTAATCACAGCTGAGATACAATAATGTTTTGAGTGTTTAGGTCATAGGATAAATAGAATAAATAATGCAAAGGGTCATAGGACTTATACCCAGAGAACTATGACACTACTATACAAAGACAGCTCACCCAAAGAAATGCTAACAATCAACAAGAAATGAAGAGATGCTCAATTTCCCCTGAAGTCAAGAAACAGAAATGAGATAGCACTTTTTACACATCAAAATAGCAAAAACTTCCTGGAAATAACATTCAGTGCTGGGGAGATATTGGATAAATGGGTCAATTAATTGTTTCTGGTAGGCATGTGCATTTGCTGACTCCTTTTTAGAAAATGAATACAGTAAGTGTACATAGAATTTGCCCTAGCAACCCCACTTACTTCCCCCAAAATGAACGTGCAAGGATAGTGAGTATTGTAGCTATTGATAGTGATAAAAAACTGGAAACAATCCAAATGTTAACCAACAGAAAAATAGCACATCCATGGTAAGGATTCTTGTACAACTATTAAAAAATAATTTAGATCTGTGTACCTACAGGGATGTTCACAACGGTAGAGAAAATGTCCCAAATCGCATGTATAAAAAACAAAACAAACTACACATCCATGAGTAAAGCAATTAACTTGAGCAATTAGATATACCGAACTTGAGAGGAAACCAATTTTTTTTTGAGTACGGGTGAAGCCTTTATTAAAAACCTATTGCACGGGGGCTGGCTGGTTAGCTCAACTGGTTAGAGCATGGTGCTGATAACACCAAGGTTCAGGGTTTGATCCCTGTACTAGCCAGCTGCCAAAACAAAACAAAAAAACCTAAAGCAGTGGGAAATTTATAGATTTAAATAGATTTATCAGGACATAAGAAAGATTAAAAACGAATGAGTTAAACATTCAGCTGCAGATAACAACACAACAAACCCAAAGAAACGAGAAGCCTTAAGAAAAGCCTGCTCTTGGGCTGGCTAGTTAGAGCACTGTGTTATAAAGCCTGCTCTCCCTAGGCAAAGGACAGCCTGTCAAGGCAGAAAACTTTTAGACAATAATCACTGTACTCCAGCCAAATACTATGGGAAAGGGCCAGCCCGGTGGCGCACTGCTACAGTGCGCCGCTTGGGAGTGCAGTGGCGCTCCCGCCGAGGGTTCGGATCCCACATACAGACCGGTTCCCGCTCACTGGCTGAGTAAGGTGCGGGCGCAACACCGAGGGTTGCGATCCCGTTGCCGGTCCCGGTCTGGTACAGGCGTGACACTGAGGGTTGTGATCCGTTGCCGGACACGAAAAAAGACAAAAAGCAAATACTATGGGAAAAATTATGGCCCTTTCCCATGCCCACCAGCTGCTGGGGGTGGGGCGCACCCACGTGTACGTGCCTAGACTTCCACCCATGCCCAGCAGTAATAAAGTGCTCCAATTGCCACTCCACCAGGATGCAGGCCGGAACTCCCACTCCTGCCCAGCAATAATGAGGCCTGCCTCCACCTGAGGTATCAACGGAGGCTGTGCTGGAGAACCTGGACTTCCACCCTCACCTTCCCTGCAGTATCGGAGGCCTGTGAAAAAAGATTTATATAGACTAGAGTCTCAATATCTAGAATATACAAGAGACAACTGAAAAAAATCACTGGTCATACCAAGAACCAGGAAAAATCTCAACTTGAATAGGAAAAGACAACCACCCAATACCAATACCAGAACAGATTTTGACATCATCTGACAAGGATTTTAAAGCAGCCATCTTAAAAATGCTTCAACAGGCAATTACAAACACACTTAAATAAAACAAAACAAAACAAAACCAGCCAAGTCTCAGCAAAGAAAAAGAACCATGAAATGGAAATTTTAGAACTGAAAAATATAGTATCATTCTCCAAGAGCAAAAAAGAAACCTGCAAAACAAAACAAAACCAGCCAAGTCTCAGCAAAGAAAAAGAACCACGAAATGGAAATTTTAGAACTGAAAAATATAGTATCATTCTCCAAGAGCAAAAAAGAAACCTGCAAAACTAACCTCATGGGTCTTCTCTGGACTAGCTGCCTCTTCAGGACTGGCCCCAGCCATGCTCTTCCTTCGCTTTGTATTTCCGGGTGGAGACTCCTCTTGAGATCTTTCTGGTCTCTTTAACATTGACCGAGTGCTGGAGCTACACAGGGAAGGGAAGTCAAACAGCTTGCTTCGATTTCCCTTAGGGGAAAAAACAGACAGACCCATTATTCATTAAAACCTGCTCACTTGAATGGTAAGACAATAGACCAAGGGCTTCTTGGAATAGTTTAAAATCAATCCTAAATTAGGAAACAGACACTGTTGATTCATCTAGTCCCAGCAAACTCTCATCGGGCCTGGCACAGATGATAAAATATTCTTTGCCCTCAAGAAACTTATTATCTACATAAGGTCCTAAGAGTCAAGAGAAGAAACTGTCACCCTCCAGCCAGGAACACATTTTTTGGCTTGCCTCTTCCTCTCCATTTTATTACTTGTACCTTGCTTGAGCAGTTCAACTGGTTTTAATACCCCACCTAAATTCAGAAAAGACGTAAGGTAGCTAGATTGTACTGTAAAATAGAGGCACTGAGACTGTTAAAGTATAGTTAAGAGGGTAAGTTTGGGGGGTGGGGGGCAGGCAGAGTAGCAAGTACCTTTCAAAAGTGTGTTCAAATGTCCTTTTTTCTACTTCGTCATTTTAAGGCATTTCCCAGAGTCTGGGGCAGCCAATCTGACAACTCATCCTGCTCACTACTCAGTGTGCCTTGGCTTGGCTTTTCCTTCTGTACAGAATGTCCTCCCACACCTCAGTAAACCACTCATATTCAAGCTGATACTAAAATTTCAATGTCACTTCTTCACTCCCATATCTGTTCTCCCAGAGACCAGGGATTTTCTCCCTCTTATTTTTGTTAAGTTTATTTTCCAACAAAGCCCCCAGCAATGGTAAATCTGCAATAACCATTGTGAAAGGAAATTCCCCACTGTTAGGGGCCCACAAGACTCTGTTCATGATTTTAAAATCGAATATATAAAACTGATAGCCACTTCTGAAGTGTTCTCATGTTGTAACTTTACGTCTTTCAAAATGACCTGGTAAATTTAGTCCTAACATTTGTATTTGGTTAATCTATTTTTTTCAAAAGCTATGCACATTAGTTTACTATAATCCATAAGTGACCTCAAAACTATAGTCCATTTGTCCCATATTTAGTTCAGGTTACTGATAGTTAAATAAATGAAGTTACCAATTCATATGTAATTGTAAATTTGTACTGTGACATATCTGATGTTCTCTAGGCATTTGTATAAATGAAAATATACCTGTGCAGATACATCCTTGCTTCTTTTTGTTTGAAAGTATCCCTATGACAGAACACATGAGTCTATAACATATATACAGATTGGGCAGGTATTTTTGATTAAAAAATGTAAATATGAGTTACTGTTGCTTTTCAAGTGTTGTGCTAGGTGCTATGGTATATGATATAAATGAGAATGATCCAAAAAAAGCTAATAGTCTTCAGGCCAAAGGCTTTAGACAGTCTTTTTCAAACTGCCTAGATGTTAACAGCTAGTTACAACTATACAGTCCCTCCTAATCCACATTCCTTATTTTATAGATTAGGAAACACACAGAGAGATAAAATGCATCCCTCAAAAGTCACTGCCTGTAGGTAGCTATCGTAGGGTCTAAAACCCAGGTCCCTGAGTCTATCATTCCATTCAACCTTTGGCTGTACCTAGCTAAGGACTACTCTGTCCAGTGGCCCAATTACTAAAGGTTCCCTCCAGATACACTGGAATAACTTACAATGTTCGTAGTTCTTCTCATGACAAGGGGAGCTGTCCAGAGGCTTGCCATGCACGACGGGGTCTCTTCATCATTCTAAAGAAAGATAAAAATTGGTTTTAAAAAGATCCAGTAGAGAGTAACATTAAATGCTTTAGGTGTGGTTCTGCCTGAAGAATACCAGACAGGCCTGGATAGGAAGTATCTTAATGTACCCACCCCCTGACTTCCCCACTAAAAAAGATCCAGTAGAGAGTAACATTAAATGCTTTAGGTGTGGTTCTGCCTGGAGAATACCAGACAGGCCTGGATAGGAAGTATCTTAATGTACCCACCCCCTGACTTCCCCACTCCCCAGAGCTTTAAGGTCAGAAAACAATCATACTTAATTCAGATAACTGAACATAAAGCATCCCCTGATAAGGACATGTGAGGAGGTACCTTCAGACCCTTCATCTTTATGCCACTTGGCAGCCAGTGCTACACTATTCTTTTTTCATGTCTCCTACACATAAATAGATTAGCTGCTTCAGGGTAAGAAAGTTGATATGAATGTCTTCTTTTGACACACCTCCCCACTAAGGATTTAATCAGATTAGGAACAGAAGCTCAATAAATTCTTACCAAATGAACAAAAATATTGGCCAGCACCAAGCCCTGGAGAACTGCTGTTCTTTTTCAGATGACTTCTCCAGGGGTAGTTAGTAGAATAGATAGGAAAACACAGATGCACAAAAACCCAGTACCTTCAGATTCTCTCCATCGAGAAGGTCCATGAAGCCATCGTCCTCGTCAGACAAAGTGGCTGTCACAGGTGACTGGGGCATAAAAAGAGGAACAAAATTTCCTGGTTCGTTGCTATCTCTTTCATTTGAGGAAAGCTAAAAGAAAGAATACATGGCTTGTTAATAAATGAAAGTTCTGGTCCACTTTGATTTCCTCAAATGGGTCACTAATTTTTATGACAAAAAGATACTATGTTATATTTGTTACACAGAGTAAAATTTTAGCAGTTATTAATCAAAGAAAAATGTATCCCAAGATTATAAATTATTTGATGTTCACACACAGCCCTGAGGTCTATACTCAGGCCAAGCAGCTTTCACAAAGAACTCTTCCTAGAAGCAGTTCACCTTATAATAGGAACTGAGGACAGCCTCTTGTAAAGAACAAGCTTTTTTTTATCAGGAGGTGTAATCAATGATCTCCAATCAACATGAGGGTTGGGATAGTATGATAATCTGCTGAAAGAAGAAACAGTAAAAAGATGCAAGTCTCGGGCCAGTCCGTGGCTCACTCGGGAGAGTGTGGTGCTGAGAACACCAAGGCCACGGGTTCGGATCCCATATAGGGATGGCCGGTTAGCTCAATGGGTGAGCATGGTGCTGACAACACCAAGTCAAGGGTTAAGATCCCCTTACCGGTTATCTTTAAAAAAAAAAAAAAAGAAAAAGAGAGGTTACTAAGATCACACATCTCGCCTGTTTGACTCCAAAGCCCAAGCTCTTCTCCCCACTACAATATCTCCCTAGGAGAAACATTCCTAGAACAAAAATGGTGGTACCTCAGTAGTCAACCCTGTATATATATATGTTTTTGGGAAACCCCCATTATAAAATCAATACATAATATAGAAAATTTAGAAAAACTACTCATAAATCCACATCTAGAGATAAACACTACTAATAGAAACACTGCTGATACTGAATTATTTCTTTTTCGGGCACTTTTCAGAGTCAGAAAAAAAAAGTTTAGAGATACTATTTTTTCATAATAATAGGATAGTCCTGACATTAAGTCCTACAAATAACTTAAGACCCAAATCCCTTTGGGGTATGAATGTTAGTCCTTAGGTGACCCTCCGGTTTTCTAAGATCACTCACCAAGGAATCCTCTCTGCACCTGGCCTACTCTGGTTCTGGCACTAGCATTGCTTCACAATACAAAACAAGTTCCGGGCTGTCTCTGGTCCTCCCTAAGTCCACTGAAGCACACCCTGGGAAAACTGGCAGTTTTTCATCCAGCAGAGCCTGGGGTAGGTAAATTTATCATTGGGCAGTACCTTCTGAATGCTCACACTATGCTATATCAACTTTTGTGAGGTATATTCTGGGCTCCCTTGGTACAGATGTGATACAGAAAATGACATACAAGTCTCTTGACAGAACCTAATTCT